GCGACCGAATGTATTTTAAAGAAGTTAAGGAGTAGTGAGCTAGGAACATTTGTTTGTTGTGCAGTGCACTACCTTTGTAATTGTTAGGATTTCCAATGATGTTAAGATTGATTGGCTAAGACTCGCGTGAAGAATAAAATAGTTAACAGAGCACCTTCTTTCCCTCAATTGCGTGCACTACCGCAGCGCCGTCATCACTAATCTCGACACCACTACACTAGGAAAGACACCTTTTAACTAATAAATTTTTACACCGTTAATGTAATTGATTTCCTCAAAGTAACACACACAAACACTCACGCCTGTCACCCAGAGGGGTAGGCAGAGACTACGGGCTTCCATTTGGCGCGATCCTGAACACCTCTCTCGCCTCCTTTACATTCATATATCTACGCATACACGCTCGTCGGTTATTTCTTACGTGGTAGAGCCATGCTGCAGCTATATTAGTAGTATAGTTGTAGCACGAATGGGTTGGCTCGACTGGGGAAGGACCACGCTCTCACAGAATACCAGCGGAAAACAGCAGCTTAACACTGCTGTGTTTCGTATGGTGAGTGTAGAGAACCGGAGACCCTTTTTACTGGAAACGAGGCATTCTATCTTAGTCCTCACGGGTGGCAACGCATCTGCATTTTGATTCGCAAACGAGGATAAATGTAGATGTCTATGGGCCACAGCAGCCACTTACCATCAGGTGGACTGTGTGCTCGTTTGTCACCCTATACTATAAAAAAGGGTACTCCTAATCTGGCCCATTTTTAATGTATCGCCAATTTGGTCGATAACCTTCGTCTAGGGCGTCCCTTCCCGACCCTGCCGTTCACTTCCGCAACATAAATTTGCTTTGTCACTCTTTCCTCGTTCATTCTTTCTACGTGACCAAACCACCGAAGCATTCGTTTCTTAATCCTTGTAACAACGTCATCTTGCAAACCACACTTTTCTCTTATCACACTATTTCTCACCCTGTCATTCAGATTCAGCCTTAGCATACTCCTTAAGGACCGCATTTCTACAGCATTTATTCTACTCTCATGTTTCTTCTGCCAGACCTAACGTTCACTACCATAGATTAAAGCAGAGATTAACACAGCATTATGAATTGCCATACGTGCCTTATTTGACACATTCTGACTCCTCATAATAGCGTGTAGAGCCCCATTCACTCTATTTCCTGCGTTCACTCGTCGTTCTATATCCTTATCATATCTACCATCCCTGCTAAATAAACATCCCAAATATACAAACTCATCCACTTGCTCAATCAACTCCCCTTCTATTCTTATTTCACATAACGTTTTACTTTCTTCTCTTTCAAAAACCATCACTTTCGTCTTACTTGCGTTCACTTTCATACCCCTTTCTTTCAATGACCAGTTCATTAAAGTAACCATCATTTGCAACTCTGCCGGCGACGATGCAAATATGACTTGATCATCGGCGTACAAAAGGCATTTGACGGCTAACTCACCCATTCTCAACCCACATTCTTCAACTTTCAAAGTTTGCAAACAACTGTCCATAAATAGGTTAAACAGCCACGGGGAAGCCACACATCCCTGTCTGACACCTTTATGAATGCCAAAAAAGTCCGAGTAGACCCCGTTGATCCTGTCACAAGTACTAGAGTCCCTATAAAGAGACCTCAATGCCTGTATCAAGTCAGCGCTCAACCCAAATGAGTTCAGTGTTTGCCATAAAACATTCCTGTTCATTCTGTCATAAGCCTTTTCCAAGTCCATGAACGCACAAAAACTTTCTGGTTTTTGGCCAATCATGCGCATGGAAAAGACTTGATCCGTACACCTCATCCCCTTTCTAAATCCAGCTTGCACATCCCAAATTTTGCCATCAGTTTCTTCCATAACTCTTTCAATTAACACCTTAGCATACAGTTTACCTACAATGCTAAGCAAGCTGATACCATGGTAGTTTTTACAGTCCTGCTGCGAGCCCTTTCCCTTATATATTGGGACTATAACGGCTTTGCACCAGTCTTCCGGTACCCGCTTCAGTTCCCAACATAAATTAAACAAGGTGCACAGCAACCACACTCTCTCCAGCCCTTAGCATTTCGAGTGATATTCTATCATATCCGGCTGCCTTACCTGCTTTCATTATTTCATCTACACTTATCTCCCTACCTCTCTCCACTTCTTCCGGAATTTCTTTTTCACTTATTTCAGACGACTCTTCACTCAAACATGCTTTCAAAGTATTCCTTCCATCTCTTTAAATTCGAAACTTCATCATTCAGCATGCAGCCATTCTTGTCTCGTATAACATTAATTCTAGGCTGTTTTGAATTTCCCCTGACAGTTCTTATGAGCTTCCAGAACATTTTAATATTTTCCTGGAAGTTATCAGATATCCTTTTATCATTCTTATCTATACTTTCTTGCTTTTTCCTTTCAACAACTTCTTTTACTCTCTTATTTATATGTCTAAAGTCTGCCTTTTTTTCTTTCAATCTCATCATTAATACCGCCAGAATTACCAGCTTTGTTTGCTAGTAAATCTAGCCATGCTCTCTTCTTTGCTTCAACTTCCATCCGTCTTTAGCGCGCTTCCTAGCTCGGCGTTCCACCGTAATGTTATTTATTTATTTAATCTTTATTGCTTATCCTATTAGAAATAATACGTAGGGCGAATTTAATGCATATAGAATACTCTACCAGTCAACCCATGAAGTGGTGAGGATACAACGTAGGCGAAGCAATTAAATAAACTAAAATAAATCTAGTAACATATAATATTCTACATAAATTTACATATATTAAAATAAGGCCGACAGCGCATCTGCAATTCCCCTGGTGTTGCAGTTGTTCATGGGCGGCGGTAGTTACTTACCATCAGGTGAGCCGCATGTTCGTTTGCCCCCTCTCATATGAAAGAAATTATTCATGGAACAAAATTTATTTCTATACATACATTTGTTTCCATCCACTCACTCCCGGTCATTTCCTCTTTGGACGTGCTCTGGATACGATACCATCACCTGATCATACTTCAACGAGTTTCAACCGGCTTAACAGATTTAAACAACTGGAAAAATACCGTCAGCATTTTTGAAATGGAAGCTGGATTATATATCTGAATTGCAACAGCGACATAAATGGCGAGTACCAACTCGAGAATTACCGATTGCAGATTTGGTTTTACTCAAGGATGACAACAGTGGAAACTCGGACGTATCATACAGTTTTACCCCGGACCAGATGAAATAAACCGTGTGGCAGACGTTCTACCGTCCACCGAAGTCCTCAAACGTGGTATTAAATACCTGTGTCCTCTACTGGATCCCCAATACGAAGATTGAAAGCTGAGCACCCAGAGGGGCGGCGCGGAGCTTCAAGCGCGGTATAGTGTTGGGTTTAGTAGGCGCGACTCGGGCCTTAGCGCATGACAGCTGAACCTTGACATCGACGTCATCGTTCGTAGATTTAATATAGATGGACGCGGCGTATGCGGTCTGCGATGCGTCGAAAAAACAATGGAGCTCGATAGACGTAGTAAAATCACCCATGACACATGCCTGGGAATTCGCAAGGTAAGTAAGCTAGGTAATTTTTGTATGAAGTAGAGCCACTCCTGTTTGATAGAATCAGGCACTGGGTCATCCCAGTTGACTTTGGATAACCATAATCTTTGAATTAGAATTTTAGGTAATTTTCATTTTTCTATTTAGAAATACTTTCCTTTTTGTTATCCAGGTAACCAGGTAACTATGTGTATTATTTATGATAAAATTACAAAATTGTTCCGTTAGTCCGTTACCATGGCAACTACGTCACAAACATTTAGACATTGTATCATAGATTATTATAATATCAACATCAATCGACATAGCGATTAGATAATATTCTCTTGCTTTGCATTATCTTATAAGCTTTATTTAAGTAAATAATGGTGTAAATCAGTGATATCGTCCCATGGCGGAATTGCATATACTTGGCCAAATATTGGGAGTGACAAATTTTGAACATTCATCTACGTTATTTTGTCGATATTCAATTCAGTCGGGTAAATATACATGTTTTTACTTTTCATTTATTATTTTATACATCAATAGACTGAAACGTCTCTTCGAGAATAATTAGGCAATTAAGTTTTATTTAATCCTTACCTAATATACATACCGCTGGTATAAAATTAAGGGATATAGAATATATAAATTTTTATTTCCTATATTTTGGATTGTTCTGAAAAATTCCGAAGTAAAATGGAATGAAATATTTTAGTTCTATCCTTAATTGTTCCGATGTGTGTTAGTTAGCTTGGGTAACAAATTCATTTAACTTTTATTACTACACAAGGTCCGAACTGGACTCTCATTTCTGGATGCTCAGAAGGACAAACTACATCGGGCAAGCCAAACTATAATAATTATACTTTTTGGTCTCATCCCATCGACATCCACTACTTAACAAAAGGAATTCCAGGTACCATGCTATTTTTAAATTTTGAATAACAACTGGTTGCTTTTCTACAGTTAACTTAATTCTGTGTCTCTGTAATTAATTTTAACAGTAGAAATTACGCTATGATAGTGATACGAATAACTAAATAAATGTTGAATAATTTTAGGGTGGCCTAAGATTAATTTTCAAGTTAGTTGTCTTGATTCGATAGGACGAACTTGGATAGTAGGATATGGGTGTTGTAGTTTACCTACCGTACCAGGACATCATGTCATAAAAGTACCTTGTTGGGTGCCCCAAGCTACAACTGTTACAGATAAACTTCGTCAATATTTCCTTGGCGGGTCACATCAACTTGCACAAAGTGAAGTTATTAATTTTGGCGTGGATAGGTTTGTAAGAAAAATAATAATTACATATAATTTAATTTTTACCCTGGTTGTTGTAAAAAAGTGAAAGGCAAATTTATTTGTTTTAGGTTTAAGTTAACTACTCAATCAAAAGGAAGCATAGATTTGAATATTGATATTATTTTAAGGAATTTTAATAGATTTGGTGTAGAGTATAAATGAAAATATGAGACTGCTTACTTATTTTGCTTTTACATTACTGTCAGTTGTAATACAATTTTGTGTTATGGATTTTATCCAAGAAAAAATTGAACATGAAGAAAATGCAGTTTATTTGAACGAAACAACTAAAGGGAAACAAAATTCAATTGGGATATTAAAAGATTACACGCATAATGCCCATGCTTTATATTATCGCTTAAACGCTGGGGAAATAAAAAATGTATCTAGAACAAAATACAGTAACTCTTCTCTGCTTAATTATCCATTCTCAACTACAACAGAGCCTTCATTTACTGTTTATGACATGTTATATGACGAGAACATTTCCGTAGCAGACGGAGTTTCAACAACAGAAACATTCTTTACGAGCACTGAGTTAGATAATGTTACTGAGATCACTTTGTTCGAAAATACTTCCACGACTACCAAGCCTGAAATTATTGAAAAGAAAACAAGATACGTTGACACATTATGTTATTGTAATTTTATGGTAAGTTACATTTCATTATTGTATAGGGATCTATTTATAAATTCTTCCAGACCAAATTTCGGTCACGGCGGCCAACCTAAACTGAGACTAGTCATCTGTGCAGGACGGGATTATAGTGCACGAGTTTTTGCGTAAACTGAGGTGCACTACGATGTAATCTGCTGCGGTGTGTAACACCCAGCAGGTTTCGGGCCTCGGGGCATCTCCCCCATTGCCCGGGTGTTCCTCACAGCCCACTTCTATGGGTCGGTCCTGGGAGCTGATTTCTTTGGCGTTGTTAGGCAGCGATCGGGGGTTCGATTCCCCGGTCGCTGCATGATAGTGTCAAATTTATAAAGGTCTATGTTGGTCAATCTGTGACATTGTGGGCTGTTATTCGACTCCCTATTCTATGTAGGGAGGAGTTCTTTTGGTAAAGGTCGCCCGTCCGGGGGTTGGGCGTGTAGCGGCGCAAAGTTATTTAGGTGTGGATGCGGCCGTTGTCAGTGCTGTTGAACATAACGCGCGACAGCCGGGCTACAAACTCTTCAATCGTCTCCATCTTGAGGTTAGCCGCTATGACGTCGTTCCGGACGTAGCGACCTGGACCGACAATGGTCCGTAGGGTTAAATTCTGCTGGGCCTGCAGCCACTGCCTCAGTCTGTTGCTCAAGAGCGCGTACCAGGCCGGAGCGGCGTATGTATGTTTTGGTCTAATATATAGTTTATAAATTTTGATCTTGGTCTTCCTCGGTAATTTGGATGCCAGGACTGGACCGAGCATCGGCTGCGCACATCTGGCATTGCGGACGAGGATGTCGACGTGCGCGGTCATGTGCAACATCCTATCAATCCGGCACCCAAGGTAGGTCACGGCCTTCTGGTACGCGATCTTTTGGCCTCTTAGCTTCAGTGGTGGTGGGAAGTTTCTATAGCGGTGGGTGAGGAGAGCGGCCGTTTTGCTCACGTTCACGGCCATCCTCCTCTCATCCAGCCACGGTGGCAGCAGGTCCAGCAGGCGCTGCATCTTGGCGACAGCGAGATGGGCTCTTCTGGACGAGGTAAAGTAGGCGCTATCGTCCGCGTATAGAGCAAGCTCTATGTCGTCCTCCCATTCGCGCAGATATCCAGCCAGCTTTGGTATATCGTTGCTATATGCCGCGTATAGGATCGGCGAGAGACAGCTGCCCTGTGGTACGCCGGCTCTTATCGAACGAAATTCCAGTGACAAGGCGAGGTATACCCACTCCAACATTTAACAACATTTAACTTTAACATTTTGGAGTGGGTATACCTACTACTACCAAATGTTAAACATTTTACCTAATCCTGCACTGGTGATGGGAAAAAACATTATTAGTACGATGGTATCGACTCAGTACCGACCAACCCGCCTGTCCAGCGTGATGAGTTATTGTACTATTTTTTAAGTTGTGCATGCATTACTTATATCCTGCTGTAGGTTGTAAAAGAAAAAACAAAATTAGTTACGCTACTTGCGTTTTAAGATGAAGTTTTAAAAGTATACATCCAACAATTTATTTTCTTTCATTGTGACAGTATAAGCAATGTGATATTAATTGTTGCTGTGATGACGATTGTTCAGAAGAAGAAAACAAATTATTTAGAAGATGCAGAACTCATTTGTTTGTAAATGTTAGAAATCAATGGCCACGAAATTTATTAACATGCGGTGAAAATGATGTCAGTGGAATATTCGGAAATTTATTTTGCATTGCGAAAACAAACTTACCAGACAAACGAGCTGCGGTTCCACAAAAGGTAGACTGATAATTTTAATATGAGTAAACGTAAAGTACCTATAAGAAACGTAATAATGCCGCGACACGACTCGCGGTCGCGCGGGCAATTACGTAGACCTGAGACCCCTTTTTATTGCTGTGTAGTTGAGATTGACTGATGCTAGCTCATGGCACGAGCTTAGATGATTGCCTCCACGTTAGCGTGACTACGTAGTGAAATAAATAATGTTCTACGAGAACGTTTGATGTCGGCGCAATCGGAATCGGCTATGGAAATTGGAAACATCAACCAGACTACAGAGAATATCTTCATATTTTGCCTTTTATCATCCATGAAACATATTTTTCCGTACAGTGCAGTGGTGGTATAAGAATATCCATTACCACATTCTATTATCGTGCTGTGGGTGTAGTAAAAGGCGACAGAGGGACACTGAAACGGGAGATGGACAGCAGTATCTTCTTGTTAACATCTCAAAATAATATAAAACTGCGGTGGCAAAATCCTCCCTCCTATGAGGCAATCTATGGAGGAAGTCTAAGTTCAGTAATTGAGTGTTATAGAGGGTAATGGATGGTAGCGGTGTTCTTTAAAATGAAAAACACAAACACCATAAAATAATAGACCGAACGTATTATTGTTCAAAATTGACAGCAAAGGAAAAACGCCACAAATAGGTTCTTTATAATTGGAATAGTATTTATTTTCTAGGCTCAAATAATTATAACAAATTATGGTTACTTGCAAGTTCAGACATTTTGTATTCACTTATTATGCTTGATTAACTGCGCATTAATTATAACCATAGATAAGAGTGTATCTACGGGAGGTAAAAACCAAAAACCCACGAATTTGAAGCGTCAGTAGCCTAATGGCAGGGCGCGGACCGCGAATTAGAAAGGTCGTGGGTTCGAATCCGCCATTCGACTACTGTCGTAAACCACTTCTAACACAAGCATTTTAAGCTTACCAGAAGTGGTTAAAGGGAATATTAGTAATGTTTAATAACATTACTAGTATTTTCTAAAAAAAAATGTTGTTTTCACCTACAGCGCCAACTAGTGCGTATTTTATATAATCGATTTTAAGCGGTATTAATGTATCGACTCGGCACAAGAGTAGACCTTCTAGTCCGAGTAATAATACATCGAGGAGCTATGAGCGCTACATTACCGCAATTAAAACTTGTTGTGCAAAACAAAATAGATGAATGAAAACTAATAACCTAAAGCCTATAGTTATGTAAGTTAAATTACTTAGTACTAGGTTGTAGGACTCGTCTTCTTCCTGGGAGTCTATCTGGGTAGGCACCACCCTCTGCCATGTGTGATGTGTTCCGGTATGAAGAATTTAGAGAGCCAGTATAATTATGAGTGTGATACATTCCACCTTAATCCTCAGAGGTGACAATACATCTGTAGCCCTCTTCTTTTGATAATTAGTAACAGATGTCCATAGACTGCAGTAGCCATTTACTGACTTAGGTGCACGGAAAGTTTGTCACTTCAGTTTAAAAAAAATGTATCTCTTTATGAGCGGCCACATCGCTTACTCCATTTTGTATTCTATCGACCATCACCTAGGTTGAAGAAGAACTATACCAGTGACATAATTAATCGGCTAGACTAAAAAGTGAGAACTTAATTCAAAAATTTCTTCTTTCAGTATAAACAAGCAAAATACTAAGAATGTATACTATTCTTTCTTCAATTTCGTACTATATGTGTATTATGGGTGTGTAGTCATCGTCAATGTTGTTAAAAATACATACATATGATCACTAAAATTTACAACACCGAGTTTACTTTTAATAAATATTATTGAAATACCTAATTAATTTTTAATGAGTTTTTATGTATAGTTTCAGTTTTTTGAAAGAGTAATTAATGACACGTTTGTATGGCATAATAATAATCATAATACAGATGTAGAGTCTTATAAGTTTACAAAAAACTTGTATAGAAATGGCGACCCTGTTTGGCTACTCAAGAACACATCAATTTATTATATTGGTACGTAAACATTGTGGCAATTAATAGAAACTAAAAATTATTGTATTGTCCCTGTTTTTAAGAATTACGCAGATTTTTCGTTATTTTAAATGATAGATTGCTTGTATTTTTATCCAAATGTTTTTTCTAAGTATAACCCTCACCAGCATGTTGTGCACCTCTTCAATTTACTATCAACGCTGTGGCAACCAAGTTAATGCGACAGTTGTTGATGATGATAATGAAGGAAATCCAGATTGGGTAAATGATCGTAAATGCCAGTTAAAGACAGAATACCGCGCCACTTCGCAGCGCCATTCTTTACTAATCTGCAACTCTTCAGCTATCTGCCATAATTTTCTTCTCCGTGTCGGCCAGTAGGAACTAATTTTACGACTTTTCGAACATTTTCCTCCGTTATTACCATCACAGGACGCCCTGGGCGGGGATCATCTCCACAGCTCTCTCGTCCTTGTTAACATAAACGAGCCCATTTTTGACCATGGTATACGAAGGCGCAGATTCCTGTAGAATTGACGAAATGTCTTCGAAAATTTCTTTCGGCGTTTTACCTTTCTTTACGAAGTAGTTTATTACAGCGCGGTATTCAATATTACGGAGAATTTTACGAATCAGCTGCCATGATGACGTTTGTCCTTCGACAGATAATTTACTAAATAACCTTTATTTTGAAGGAAGGTTATATTTCTACTATCAAGGAGTGTCGCTATTAAAGCAAGTGAGATCATGAGTCATGACTAAACACCTCGGGTCGCAGACTTATTAGCCGCCCCTCGTATATTGGTTAAAAGTAATTATGACCAAGCCTAGTACATAGTTAAAAAGACCTGACCAGAAGTATTCAGTAAAAATAAAAGTGTTTGATATTATCATCATCATCATCATTACAGCCTTTCATAAGTCCACTGCTGAACATAGGCCTACCCCAAGGAATGCCACAAAGCACGGTCCTGAGCCACCTGCATCCATCGACTTCCTGCATGTCTTACCAGGTCGTCACTTCATCTCGTGGGGGGGTCGCCCTACACTTCGCCTACCGGTACGGGGCTGCCACTCAAGAACCTTTCTTCCCCATCGGTTGTCGGTTCTTCGAGCTATATGGCCGGCCCACTGCCACTTCAGCTTACTAATCCGTTGGGCTATGTCGGTTACTCTGGTTCTACTGCGGATATACTCATTCCTAAATTTATCACGCAGAGAAACTCCGAGCATAGCCCTCTCCATGGCTCGCTGAGCGACCTTGAGCTTCCTCATACGGCCAGCAGTGAAGGACCACGTCTCAGATCAGTAAGTCATCACTGGCAACACGCACTGGTTGTACAATTTCGTTTTAAGGTTTTGAGGTATGTCTGACGAGAAGATGTGTCGTAGCTTCCCGAACGCTGCCCAGCCGAGTTGAATCCGTCGATTGACCTCTCGGTCGAAGTTGGACTTACCTAGTCGGACTATTTGTCCCAGGTAAACATACTCGTCAACAACTTCGAGCTTAGTGCTCCCAACAACTACCGGCATAGGTGTGACATGGACATTAAACATGATCTTTGTTTTATCCATGTTCATCTTAAGACCTATCCGTTGGGCGACACTATTGAGGTCATTGAGCATAGTGCTTAGCTCCTCCAGCGATTCTGCCATAAGGGCTATATCGTCGGCAAATCGAAGGTGAGTGATGTACTCGCCATTGATGTTAATACCGTATCCTTTCCAGTCCAGAAGTTTGAAAACGTCTTCCAATGCAGCGGTGAAGAGTTTCAGATATAACGTCACCCTGTCTTACACCTCTCTGCAATTGGATAAGTTTCGTACTCTGGTTCTGTACTCGGATAGCCATCGTAGCCCTACTGTACAAGCACTTCAGCACTTCGATATACCGACAGTCAACTTGACACCGCTGAAGGGACTGCAGCACCGCCCAAATTTCGACGGAATCAAAGGCTTTCTCATAGTCCACATACGCCAGGCATAGTGGCAAATTGTACTCCTCGGACTTCTGTACAACTTGCCGAAGGGTATGTATGTGGTCTATGGTGCTAAAGCCCTTTCGGAAACCGGCTTGTTCGGGAGGCTGGAAGTCGTCAAGTGCGAGACGATTCGTAATGACTCTCGAAAACAGCACGTAGACGCGGCTCAGAAGGGAAATCAGTCTGTAGTTCTTCAAGAGAGCGTTGTCACCTTTCTTGAAGAACAAGTCCACCGCACTTCTGCTCCACGCCTCCGGTGTAATGCCACCATGGAGGACGGAATTAAAGAGCCTCTGAAGGACTTCAAGTACCGGTTTTCCACCCGCTTTCAGAAGCTCCGCTGTAATTCCATCCTCGCCTGGGGCCTTGCCATTTTTAAGATGCTGGAGAGCCATTCTAATCTCGCTCAGACTGACGTCCGGGATATCTTCGGAATAGTGTCGGATAAGACTCGCTCTTGGATCGTTACTCACACTTGCGTGTGGCTCCAACGATGACGTGTACAGCTGTCCATAGAACCTCTCAATCTCACTTAGTCTCAGGTGCCCCGGAAACGATGCTGCCACACTCGGTCTTCAGCCTTGACAGTTGGCTCTTTCTGGCAGACAGATCTCTGGCAAAGACTTTGGGGCCTTGGTTCCGCTCGATTGCTTCTTCAATACAAGCTGTATTGAAGTTGCGTAAGTCCCGCCGCATGCATTTGGAGATCTGTCTGTTCAGTTGCCTGTATGCTGTCAAATCTGTTGAAGAATGTAGCTTCATCTCCCGTCTAACAGCCATGAGATTAAGAGTGTGATCGGAGAGTTTTTGTGTTCTTCTGCGGCGGGTCTTGCAGAACTAAGCTCCGACCGCATGGACAGTTTCCACGAGCTTGTCATTCATATCGTCCACTTCATTGCAGTCTTCTAGGCACTGAAAACGGTTTTGTAGAGGTTTTACATTTACGGGGCCAGAAAACGCAGTGATAGCCTTTCAACCAGCACGTGAAAAATATGCCCTCAGACCAATGACCTTGTTTTCAAAAATGGTTTCAACGAATGAAGAAAAGCTTAATTTTTGAAAAGCAGTAAATGTATTAGTTTACTTATAAATTGTTTATTTAGGAGTTACGCAAAACTTTCAGTGTACCCAGCGTAGTCCTGAGGAGTAACAACGTATACCATTTGTTTAGAGCCCCAAGTAATTAAACGTAATTCACGTATTTTCTATTTTCCTGGTCGGACTGTATCAATTTGCATCTTGTATATCCGTTGTTGCGATAACAAATTATTTTGATAATATCATGTAACTTTATTTACAGATTTTCCAGCTCCTTTTGTAAACAACTATTGCAGTATCAGACGTCCAATAAAATTTTTACAGAATGAAGAAACACAATGTCTTGTGAAATTAATGGAACTGGAAATGTTTCGTATTTTAAAAACTATAGATGAATCGAAAGTTATAAATATAGCAAATAATTCTTTGAACAGTACTGCAATGGTATAATCTACTATTATATTTTTACTACACTGTTACTGAATATTTTGTTGTAAAACTATACAATTTCGTTTGCAGAATTGCTCCAATCTTCATTGCACTAACTGGACAGTAATTTATTGTGACGAAGATGATTGTTTGGATTTCAATAAAACCTTGCACGAGCCAATGTGTACAGCAAGCTTTTGTAAAAATATTGCCTTTAGAATAGAATATGCTTTCTATGTTTACGACTCAAAAATTGTCAATGCGACTGTAAAACTATTTGCCAAAAATATACCAATCGCCATACAATACATAACGCAAAAAATAAGTGTTAAATTTTACATGGGCAATACTTCATCAGAGAGAATAATAAAATTAAGTGGAACTCCAGGTTATATTACGGGTTTGCCTATAATAACGTCGTTTACGGAAAGCAATCATACTAATCAGTTCTTTAATAGCGATCACCAAAATAATTATTTGACATATCCTGACAACAAGCACGGTTTATGTGTTAAAACGAAAAATACGAAGAAAGTTTTACTGTTTGGTTTAAACAAAAGAATGAAATGCAAAATTTCTATACGATATATTTCTTCGTCAAATGCCACAGAAGCGTGCTTGAATGTACAAACTCATATCAACAAGATGTTAAGTGTCCAAAATAAAGTGTATGTATCACCGTATGGCAACCCAAACAATGTTAAAGATGACGATTGGTTGCCTATTAAACTGAAAAGCCAGTTTATCTATGGTCAATTATATTCTAAAAGTTCCAAAATACAATGTTACAACTTGCAGACGCGGGTTGCTTTTATTTTCACTTATGCTGTTTTAAGTAGCAGTATTGGTCAAGTGGAAAATAAACTATTAAGTGCTAAAGTAGATGGTTTTGCGAGTAATGTAACATTTAGCACTAACTCACATGAACTATCGACCGTGATTACAGTTGATATTAACTTTATTAATGTAAATAATTGGATGCAGCATGAGTATGCTGGACCTCCGCATTTGAATCTCAATTTACCAAAGAATTTCTTTTTTCCTTTTCCCTCGAATAAAGAATGTCATTCATATAAGCCAAATATATTGTTTATCAATTATTTATGTATCATTGCACTGTTCGTCAAATAAAATAACTGTCGAATATAACCAATAATTTTTATTTTGAAATAATTTAAATACTTTTGTTAACTTCTATCACTTTAACTTTGCATCCACCCATCAAGGACTTGGGTCTCGATGCTGATGGCCTGAAAATAAAACCCATTTTAGGTTTTCCACATATTTATATCATCAACACGATTCTATCTTCTTATACAGGTTGTAATTATTGCAATAAAACATTTTATTATAAAAGAAATATTTAATCCAATGTAACTATTCTAAGAAATTATGAGGAACACTTTTATGATACATTAAAAGGATGAGACTAAAGCCGCTTTCGTATATAATATATACAATATTTTTACATAGATTATTTCAATCTGTACTTTAATAATAATTAAAATATTATTTCTTAACAAAAAAACATTAGTTTTAGACGAATGTGTGTGAATAACCAAAGCGGATGGTGTAAGTGTGTTGTGGTGTGGTGGTGTTGTGGTGTTGGTGACGCACCTATGCGACGTAGGTGTAGACCTTGCGGTCGTCGGGCGTGCGCGCCAGGTACTCGCGCTCGATGAGGCCCTCGATGCGCTTCTTGATGACGACCGGCGACGGCAGGAAGCGCGCGCGCAGCTGCTCCGTCACCTCGGCCACCAGCAGCGTGTGCTGCAGCCGCACCGCCCAACGCACGCCGCACACCGCACACCGCCACGCACCAACCGAACAACGACCGACGTATTTTTATTAATCATCATTCACCATCATTACTGCCCTTCACAAGTCCACTCCTGAACACAGACCTCCCCCGAGGAATGTCACAAAGCACGGTCCTGAGCCACCTGCATTTCACCGATTTCCTGTATGTCTTATCAGATCGTCACTCCATAGCCCTACACTTCGCCTACCAGTACCAGACTGCCACTTGAGAACCTATTACATATACCATACCATTCATCATTACAATCTATCAATCATTGGCCTCCCCATAGATTATCTCATAAGGGGAATACTTGCCATAGTTGCCACGCTTGACTGGCAACTGGTTTTTTATTTTCTAATTATTAGGAAAACTGCTATCGTGTTTTCTCCGTCACCTCTTACAACACTTACGGAACGATATGAGGTAATAAATATTCTTAAAATGCCACTACATGGTACTCTGTATACATACAAATCTTTTTGAGCCCTCGGAACGTACAACCAAGTACAAAACCTTAAATGTGTTTTGTGTATGAATATAGCACTCACTCCTAAGCCGCCTTCATCACTATAAGGCGAATATTGGTGTTACCGTGATGTATGTATCCATATGTTCGCGAAAACATCACACTGCTCCTGCATTTCGCTGTCAATAAACTCACATTAAAGGATTTTATTGCAATGATCTTTAATTGCGCGACCACACTTCAGTCAGTTAATTGATTATGTCAGTATTAGATTGGAGTAACAACAAAATTTTTGAATTTAATTACGAGGTTGAAACAATATTAGATTGGCTGAAATAACCGGATAAAAAATTGCAAAAACAAAAGCTATATTGTTATTCTCGCAATTCCTTTGAGAAATTTATAAAGACAAGTTTTGGTCGGTACAAATCATCGGTGTAAGTTATTAAAATTCTTATTATTTCACATACCGCCATCCTCTTCCGAGCCTTCATAATACGAACGATGGCAGCTTCAATTTCATGCTTGCGATCTTCGTCTACTTTGTTGCGAGTCTCGCGTCGTTCCGGCTCCGATTCACCCTTAGCTGCTACTGTTTGGATCTTAACTCTGTAATGAAAATATAAAACAAAAATAGATTCCTTTAATAAAACCAGCTTGACAAAAATAAATAGTCAGTTTTATTGTGCGAATGTAACTACAACAATCATCATCAGTCTTAAGATCTATTGCTGGACTTTGACATACTTTGTAAGTAGTAGGTGATTTGTCAAACACAAATTTGACCTACTAATAACAATGCTTCCAATAAGCTACTCTGTGAGATTTAGGTTGTGCATTTTTATATTGGATTTTTCTAACTCTGAAATAGCTAATTGACTTACTGACCACAGCCTCCTTTGTAAGTCAATAAACATGCATGGCCAGATGAAGCATAGCAATATGACAGAAAAGCCATATTTCCTTTTGCAGTCAAGAATTCCAGAATGTTATTTTGGTATCCAACTTTTTTTTTAATAGGATAAGGGTGACAAACGAGCACACAGTCCACCTGATGGTAAGTGGTTGCTGTGGCCCATAGACATCTACATCTATCTTCGATTAAGAGGCAAAATTCAGATGCGTTGTCACCCGTGAGGACTAAGATGGAATGCCTCGTTTCCAGTAAAAAGGGTCTCCGGTTCTCTACACTCACCATACGAAACACAGCAGCGTTAAGCTGCTATTTTACGCTGGTATTCTGTGAGAGCGTGGTCCTTCCCCATTCGTGCTACAACTATAATATAGATGCAGCATGGCTCTACCACGTATAAAACTGTAATTGTGATGTATATGTATACATATGCCTTTATGAAAAAACAGATTGGTATTGTGTTTTGAAGTTATGTTATAGCTAGTGGTACCATTCACATTCGTTATCAAGTACAGTACATGATTTAGCACTTGCTTTGGGTATCCTATAATTCTATCAGTGAAATATTTAGAAATTATTGAGTGTACGTCCTGAACGTATAACAAAATAATAAATAAAAGAACCAAATAAAATAAACGCAAACCCGCATACACTGCTAGTCTTAGTCTTAAAGTTACAGCCTATATATGTACGTCTCACTACTGAGCACAGGACTCCTCTCATTTCTGTTTTAGGGCAAGGAAATGTCCGCCGCGGTGCTCCCATGCGTGTTCGATTTCGATGAGGGATTCGAACCCGCGGCCCTCAGCGCAACAACTCATTGCTAAGGCTAATTCTACTGCCCATATCTCATTCTACTTTTCCCACGTCGCCTCTAACAACACGCATGGGATGAGACGGGCTAGTCGTTTCTCTTACGCAGCCACCACACGGCCAGATCAGTTAAAAGGCAAATATTATAGAAATTTGTATATTATAGGAAATATTTGCCTTAATCATTACGTTTGGTAGTAGGATTGGCTATCGCGTCACTAAACGTGTCGCACCTTTGATGCTGCTCCGCCTTGCTCGTGTGCGTATTTTACATCTGGCACAAAACTATGGTTATTTTTTAAACAGAATAAGGATGACAAACGAGCACACAGTCCAGCTGATGTTAAGTGGATGTAGTAGCTCATATACATCTACATTTGTCCTCAATTAATAATCAAAATGCAGATGCGCTGTAACCCCTGAGAGAGATGGGATGCCTCGCTTCCAGTAAAAAGGTCTTTTTTTTATAGGATCGAGTGACAAGCGAGCACAGTCCACCTGATGGTAAGTGGTTAATGTGGCCCATAGACATCTACATCAATCCTCGTTTGCGAATCAAAATGCAGATGCGTTGTCACCCGTGAGGACTAAGATGGAATGCCTCGTTTCCAGTAAAAAGGGTCTCCGGTTCACTACTCTCACCACACGAAACAGCAGCATTAAGCTGCTATTTATACCGTCATCTGTTGGAAATCATGAAATCTTTTTAGCTTTCTTGTGATCCTCTTTTATGACACCCGTGGGAAGAAATGCGGTGACAGTTCTCTTGCGGCGCAGCGACACGGCATGGCGCAATACACTACAGTAACATTCTTTGGTTCAACATTCACATACCTATGTAACTTAGAAGTGAAGGCATCATTAACATAGAACTGGTGAGAAGGTTCTATCTCCTTAGTCTTGGGATGCTTGATAAGCACTCGTTGTGTCGGTTTTCCCATGGCTAAGGACTGCAAGGCACGTACAAGGTCTTTTTCGGGAATGTCAGTCTCGTTGAGTATTTCCTATAAATAAAGAGCGTGTTTATTTAACATTACCTGTAACTAATGAAGTTATTCCGAATTCCTATATTATTGGGAATGAGGGTAAAAAAAATAAACGGAAATACGAACAAATGAAGGTAGAATGCTAATGTCCCTCTTGTTTTAGCAGTATAAAGTATTGCACAGGAGACTAAGAGGCATCAGTCTGTAATTCTAAGTCCCACTGTCGTTACTATGCCTGTTGGGGTATTCTACTAGTGTAGGCAAGGAAAGTCGTGTTGCTGAGAGGCTGACCTGTTACATTGAGATGGGTAGTGCTGCTGTTGGGTTGCATCCTTTGTTGTTATCATGTAATTGGGGTCCTGATAGTAGTAAGCAGGGTTTGTTACCGAGTGGTGTTCTTTTATTTAAATACTTTTCAGAATAATTGAGTAGAGAATAGTTTGTTACAATATATACTTAATAAGTGCTAAGTTTCTCCAACATGGATATCTGTGTTCTATGTTCAGTATATACATATGTGATTGATTGAGATTTTTGATTTTTTTCATATACACAACCGTCAGGTTGCCTGGTGAGGTTGATATTTGGAGAAAACGTTTTTTTTGTTTTATAGGATAAGGGACAAGCGAGCACACAGACCATCCGATGGTATGTGGTTGCTGTGGCCCATAGACATCTACATCTATCCTCGTTTGCGATTAAAATCCAGATGCGTTGTCCGTTGACTAAGATGGAATGCCTCTTTTCCAGTAAAAAGGGTCTTTGGTTCTTTACACTCACCAAACAAAATACAGCAGCGTTAAGCTGTTATTTTACACTGGTATTCTGTGAATAAAAGTAAATGTTTTTTTTTTTAATTCCCGTCTCCTTAATAAGTTATATTATTATGAAATTAGCAGGTCCAAGACATATTATAATATTGCATCTACTAAATAGATATACTCTGAGGTCGGTTTAAATCATATTACACAAAAGAATAATAAATACAAGTTTTGCAAAGAAAATTTAACTTTAAAGTTGAGAAAAATTTATTTTCCCTATATCCGCTCAATGAAATAAAATGATGATGATGAAGATTATCTGCGGTGGCTGAGCTTAACGGTCAGCCACCGAGTACACAGTCTATTTCACCTGAGGATGCTTTGTGTA